TTCTGTTGAAATCTTGGTTTTCTTGGGGGTTATAGTGCGCTGTGGCCAACTCACAATGTGATGTTGAGCTAGCGGCGCTATATTTCCTTTCTTGGTATTCCTGCTACCAAAGTCAGTGCACCATTGAGGCGACTGCTTATAAAAGCAGTGAAGAATTTTTCACTTTCGTCTCCCTCAGTTCAACAACGATTGACTGAGGTGAGACTACGCTTTTACCACATGTTGTGTTGTCACTCATGTATCTTCATATGCCCTAGCGTAAAACGCTAGGTAATTAGTTCTAATCTATTAGTTCAACAACGATTGACTGAGCGTAAATCGCTAACATCCTAATAGGTTACGAGCCTAGTTCACTCAGAACTCACCCATGTCGCAGACTACCCCCTCCACTTCTCAGCCAGCCCCTGCCCCCACCACTACAGACAATACCCGTTTCCCCATAACTATTCTAGACGCCAATGGTAAAACTTACTCCAACTGGGCATCAAGGATCCGCGGTGTCTTGAAGATAAACCGGATCTGGGATGTCGTAGAAGATGTGTCAAAAGGCGGCACTGAAAGGCCCCCGGACACTGATCCGACCTTAGCTGACTGGCTCGACAAAGATGAGAGAGCGTTCACCTACTTGAGGTGCTATGTTAGCGACTCCTGCTTGTCCATGATGAGGAACAAACCTACTGCACGTGCTGCCTGGAAAGCCCTCTCTGACCGATTTGTCGGAAAGGACGAACAAGACATGCACATGCTTCACTCTTCCCTCTTCCAATTTCACTTTGACGACTCTAAACCACTGGGTCCCCAATTCCAAGAAGTGGAAGACACGCGCCTCAAGGTCACCTCCTTAGGTCTCGAAATTGGAGACAAAAGCTACCTCTCTGCCCTCATCTCCGCCACCCCCGAATCCTACCACACCATCAAAAGCGTTGCCCTCATGCAAATGAAGAGGAACAACATCGATTCCGAAGGGTATATCGATTACGTCCTTTCGGAAGAGAAACTCCGTAATTCTGACCCAAAGACTATTGCCATGTTTGCTAACTCTGGCAAATCCAAACGTCGCAATGCAGGGAAGTCCAGTGGCTCCAAGTCTGATGCCACCACCCCTAAATCGGTAGTCCGCTGCACTAACCCTAAATGCGGCAACTTGGGACATACGTTCGAACAATGTTGGTCGGAAGGTGGTGGGTCTGAGGGAAAGAAACCGAGGAGGCAGGGGAAACAAGGTCAGAGCTCAGGCGCTCCGAAAGAATCCGCGAAGACGGCGATAACATTTGTGGATGAGGAGAAAGCCTTGGTAACTGAAACGACGGAGGAAGTAGCAAACACACTCAACTCGCTAAACGCGGGGATTACTCCTGATCATCATGCTCGAACTGAGTGGGTGATTGACTCTGGTGCCACTTCTCACTTGTGTCGCAATCGCGACTGGTTTATATCCTATCGCCCTCTTGATGTCCCTAAAAAGGTCGTTTTGGGAGATAAGGATGTGATTTTAGCGCCGGGGATTGGACAGATAAGAGTAGAGTATGACGTCGGGAACTCACAGGAAACCCTCATAATCCGTAACGTCCTCTACTGCCCCAAAATTGCACACAACCTCCTTTCCGTTCTCCAACTAAACCAATCGGGTGCAGGCGCAGACTTCTGGGACCAAAAATGTCGAATTTTCGACTCCTCCAAGAAACTTGTCACCGTCGTGCCTGTGGAAAAGGGCCTCTACCGATGGCCAGTGAGAATCCCCTCCTTATCCACAGCCTTCATCACTTACCCCTATACCGACAATGCTAACGTCGCACGCACCATCACCGCTACTGCATCCCTCGACATCTGGCATGCCCGATTGGGGCACATCGCAAAAGATTCGATCTTGAGGATGATGCGGAGTGGAATGGTTAAGGGAATGGATGTTATAGGAGCAAACGACGCTGATCGATCAACTTACTGTCCCGAATGCGAAGCCGCATCTCATCACCGAAACCCCATTCCTTCCGAAACACAAACCCGCTCCGACCAAGTACTTGGTCGTGTATTCTCTGATGTTTGCGAACTGCAAACAGTATCGAGTGAAGGCTACAAATACTTCATTACTTTCGTCGATGACTTCAGTCGGTACCTCACCATATATCCAATGAAGAACAAATCCGACGCACTCGATAAGTTCAAAGAATTCCTTGCAGAAGCCGAATGTCAAACTGGGAATAAGTTAAAGATTCTCAGGACAGATGGCGGCAGCGAGTACTTCTCTTCCGATTTCTCCAACTATCTCAAATCCCTTGGCATCCTTCACGAAAAGACCAACCCTCAAACGCCTCAGGAAAACGGTGTAGTGGAAAGAGTCAACAGAACCCTCGTGTCAATGAGTGTCGCGATGCTGAAAAGCGTCGAATCCAAAATTGGATGTACCTCTTGGCCATACGCTATCCAACACGCCACGTTCGTAAAGAACGTTTCTCCTCATGCGGCGCTCCCCAACGACATCTCCCCCCACGAAAGGTACACAGGCAACAAGCCAAATGTATCGATGCTACGTACCTTCGGGTGCAATGCAACCCTCCATATCCATCACGACCTCCGACGCAAACTTGACGATCGCTCTAAACCGGGCATCCACCTTGGATTAGCTCGGGGCAAGAAGGCATTTCTTATTTGGGATCCAAAGGCTCGAAAGTTGCACGAGTCGAGAGATGTCCATTTCTTTGAGAGCGACGAGGAGAACTCGGAACGTGTAACGATCGAGGTCGAGTCTCACAACTCCCCGACACATGTAATCGTTCCAGTGGATGAAGATGGAGAGTCGGGAGAAAGAGATGATGATGATGGAGATCTAGAAGAAGGAGAGGAAGATAATGGAGGGATGTCGGAAGTAGGAGAAGCAGAGAATGAAAACTCACCCCCGCTCCAACTTGGACCTGTAGTCCAGGACTCCCTACCCCGCCGCTCAACCAGAATCCCCCATGCGCCCATTCCAGACGACGACCCCCGATATGAGAGATCTTCTTATAATCGGACTCAACCTTCCACTGATTCAGTGAATGTCGCTTGGGTGATGACGGCAAGCATCAAAATACCACGAACGTACAACGAGGCGATGGATCGTCCTGACACGGACTCATGGTTAGGGGCGTGTACCGACGAATTAAACGCGCTAAAGGAAACAGGTACTTACCTTCCTGTGCGCAGAGACGAAGTCAATCCCCACAACGTCGTCAGGAGTAAGTGGGTGTTTGCTTTGAAGAAAGGGGCCGATGGTGAAATAGAGCGGTATAAGGCGAGAATAGTGGCGAAGGGATTTAGCCAAATCTACGTGGTAGACTATGAGGAGACGTTTGCACCTGTGGTCAAATGGTCGTCAATCCGAATCCTCCTCGCGTTAGGTGCCCGTCTCGATCTTGAAATACATCAAATGGATGTGAAGACCGCATTCCTCAACGGGGAATTGGAGCATGAGATTTTTATGCAGCCGCCTCCTGGCTCAGCAGACTATGGGAGGAGAGACATCGTATGGAAATTGGAGAAGAGTCTGTATGGCCTTAAACAGGCCTCTCGAGCGTGGTACAAGAAAGCCAAAGTCGAACTGAACAAACTCGGCTTCTCCTGCTCGAATTCAGATCACGCCGTTTTCATTCTTTCCCAACGCGCTCATTTTTGCATCGTCGCTCTTTATGTCGATGACTTAATGATCCTTTCTAACCACCTTCCCCTTCTTCGAAAGAAGAAGAAGCAGCTAATGTCCACATTTAAGATGAAGGACTTGGGGGAAATTCATTGGTTCCTTGGACTGGAAATCACGCGCGAGCGCCAAAGGCGCTTAATTTTTGTCTCTCAATCTCGCTACATATCCGAGGTTGTCGATCGCTTTGGATTTAGCACCTCTCGTACAGTCTCAACTCCTATGATGCCGAATCTCAAACTCACTCGCCACGAAACCTCTGACCCTGACATCAACACTCGCGAATACCAATCCCGAATTGGTTCGGTAATGTATGCAATGCTAGGAACTCGACCAGACACCAGCTTCACCATCACCATACTCAGCCAATATTCTTCCAATCCAGGAGAAGGGCATTGGGCCGCTATCAATCGTCTACTACACTACCTCAATGCTACGAAACATTTCAAACTGGTCTACGACGGTAATTCGAAGTCTAACGACAAGACTGGCTATTCCGATTCGGATTGGGCTGGAGATCCGAGAGATTCTCGATCTATTTCTGGATTCGTTTTTACCATGGCCGGAGCAGCGGTAAGCTGGAGTTCAAAGAAACAGACGTCGGTGGCGCTCTCAAGTACCGAAGGCGAGTATATGGCTGTTACCCATGCAACTAAAGAAGCGCTCTGGATTCAACAGTTTCTATGCGACCTTAACTTCCCTCCTTCCGACCCAACCACCCTCCTTGTCGACAATCAAGGCGCCATTGCGCTTGCCACCAATCCCGCATTTCACGCACGAACGAAACATATTGGCGTCCGACATCACTTTATTTGCGATCAAGTAGAAGATCACACGATTTCTTTACAATACATCCCTACCGATGATCAAGTAGCCGACGTATTGACGAAGGCTCTTGCATATGCCAAACATTCGAAGTTCAGAACAGCGATGGGACTGTGTGAGTAGCCACATCGAGTGGGTGTGTTGAAATCTTGGTTTTCTTGGGGGTTATAGTGCGCTGTGGCCAACTCACAATGTGATGTTGAGCTAGCGGCACTATATTTCCTTTCTTGGTATTCCTGCTACCAAAGTCAGTGCGCCATTGAGGCGACTGCTTATAAAAGCAGTGAAGAATTTTTCACTTTCGTCTCCCTCAGTTCAACAACGATTGACTGAGGTGAGACTACGCTTTTACCACATGTTGTGTTGTCACTCATGTATCTTCATATGCCCTAGCGTAAAACGCTAGGTAATTAGTTCTAATCTATTAGTTCAACAACGATTGACTGAGCGTAAATCGCTAACATCCTAATAGATTCAAGGGCAGATTAGCACCCGCCCATGCACTATGCTAATTGACACCGGCAGCGAGCTCAACATCATGACAAGTGAGCAAGCTTATGCTCTAGAACTTCCAGTCGATCCTACTGGCACCATGTGGACTCTTCGCGGTGTATCTGGACACCAAGTCGCCTTAGAAGGTCTATGTAGAGATGTACCCATTACCATCAGGGGAATTGAAGTTACCCACAACTTCTTTCTTACGTGAGATACCCTTCATGGAAAGGATATGATTCTAGGTCAACCATGGCTCTTCGGCCACTCTACTAAGATCGAGTATATGCACGATGTAGGGATGGTAATTCAAGTTTGGAATGAAGGCAATCGCGATAGTGGAGCATCTGTCCGCATCAAACTTCCGATTATGAATGCCCCACGAAATGTTTATCCTGTCCAAGCTCGTCGTTATGCGAGAGCTGCCACCACCACATACGACATTAGTACAGTGAGATGTGGGTCAGATCCCCAGACATCAGAGCCGCCACAATTCCTGAGCTGCATTCCTTCGACATTCACTGCACCACAGACAGAACTTAAAGAGCTAAGGCCTGACGGCCTTGATCATGTACTAGCGGACCATAACATGGAAGATCCAGAAGTCCTTAGAGCGCTTAAGAATGCTTGGATACCCTCCAAGATACCCCATGGTCTGGGATTCACGGACTATGTTGAACGGGTCACCCTAGTCAAGGGACTGGGCTTGAACTCAGCTAAGGAAACGTCCACTGAGATGGAATGCTTTCCATTCCCCATGCGCGATTCTGGTCTCGTATACACCTCAAATTGCCCTGAGCCGGCAACCTGAGTGACATCTTTGACAGCACCGCCGGAGCAAAAGCTTAAAGAGCCAAGGCCTGACGGCCTTGACTATGTTCTAGAAGGACGGGAAGCAGCCCATGCTGAGGATTCAAGAGCTGCTGCAGGTCCCTTGGCATTGTCTGGGTTGGATTCCATGGGAATTGTCGAGCATGTCGATATCGCTAAGGGAATGGCTGCAGCACAAGAATTCCCATGCATGCATCATGAGCCCGTTGTTGCAGAGTCGTTGCCTGTGACTGCTCAGAACTCAGAGACTGGATGTACCGTTGTCAAGCCTGAATCAACGGAGGCAGCAATGATAGCTCGCATTGCGCCGAAGTCTTTCACTGGACTTGAAATCTGTTTTCTTGCTAACTTCTTGACTGCTCAAGAGAAGCCTGTTGTCCATGCCGAAGTCACTGAAGTCATACACCCTCCAGAAGGCTGTCAACGCTCCAGCGGGAGCCATGAGGATTCCTTATGCCAATCCCAAGAGCTTAGCCCCAACAGTTATGACAATCGGGTTGAGAATCCAGATCTGGAGTTCCCTCCAAGCCAGCCGTGATGGTTCGGACCGCATACGGTAGACAAGAGACTTCGCAGTGGCGCCCTTGTGTTGCAAGAGTTAGATGGTGAAGAACCAATAATCCGAGAACCCGTTAAGTTTTCCGAAGGTTATGAGGAACCAGACAATGAGGCAAATTATGCGTCCTACACCACTAATTCTAGGCACCCGACGCCACCCAAGCCCTGGGAGCTCAAGGGCAAGAAGCTAGCTGAGTATTGGCAAAAGAAATACGAGCACGTGCATGCCAGAGCCAAGAGTCCAAACCTGAAGCTCCCTCCAAGCCAACGCGGATATGAACTCGAGAGGTTCATTGACACACGATTTCGGGATTTCCGCCATGCCACTCAGCTTAAGGAAGACGGTGACCTGAAGACTTTCCCCCCTGGCCTCCCTGACCTGTTTTATTGGCTATCCTGGGGCAGGAAGGGCTCTTATATTCTTGAAAATTCTTATTCCACGCAAAGTGATCCTGAGCATAAGTTAGAAGTCAAGTTATTATTGGGCAGGCCAACTATCAAGGTTATACACTCAGACAAAAGCCCCATGCTTGTTGCCGCTCCCACCACTGAGACCAGCGGCCCAACTAATGGAAAAACCCCCTTGAAAATAATGCAATGCGAGATCAACCATTACCCCCTGCCTCCCTTCAAGTGCTCCATGGGCTACGGCAACCCTAATGCACCACACACACGTCACTGTAGGAGTCGAGGATGCTATCGACGCCACCTGTCAGAGACCAGGTTGAGACGAGGGAGAGTCTCCATGGCAGAGGGCTTCGGCCTCAGCGACTTATGCCAAGAGTGCTGTGCCAAGTAACACGTCCGTGCCTGTTAGAATCGGGTGGATTCGGACGACTCCGGAGTGGAATCGGAGACTTAGCGTGGAAGGACCTCGGCCTCAGCGACTCAGGTGGAGCGCTGTGCCATTGCTGGTTGTCCTAGGGGTCCCTAATTTCGGATCTAGCAGAGGGAAAGTTATTAGAGACAAGGTCGACATCCCACTATTATGGCGCACGGACTCACCAGCTGCAGGAGATTTTCCACAATTCCCAATCCATCTTTCTTGTTGATAGGTGGCGTTGTAGGCTTAAAAGCCACTCGTCACGACTGTTTTTTCCTCTCTCCTCAGTTACACTATCGTGAACTGAGGTGAGGTCTCTTTTCTTGGTCTCATTAGACCTTTTTTACTTAAAAACATCTTTCATTGTCTAGCGCTGATTTGTACATGCTAGGTAATACCTTTGACAATTAAGTTACACTATCGTGAACTGAGCGCTGATTTGTACATGCTAGTTCTCTCACAAAAGTCTCTTGGGGGAATTCATGTCGATTTCGGACTGAGGTTACAAGTTACTAGGTACATTGTATATAAGGAGGGGTCTGGAATCAAAAGGAACAAGGGTAGGACAAAAGGAGACAAAGGGAGATGGAAAGAGGAACAACACCGAGGGTCAAGGGTTTGACTCAATGGTGTTTCCCAAAGGAGGAGTGAAGGGCCAAGGCCCAAGGAGGAAGGAAGGAGGTTGGGAGTGGGGAATGGCTAGCTGACTGAATAGAAAGGAAGCAGCAGCCCAAATAGGAATGAGGGAGAATAGCGGAATTGAATGGAGCAATGCAATAGTTGCAAGGTCCGACATAAGTCCGGAAAGTCCGAACTCGGAAGTTAAACTCCGGAATATTGGCAAACATAATTAAATGGAATGAGCTAACCAATACAATGGGTATAAGCGGAGGTGGGGTCAAAGTCCAAGGTCGGAGCTAAGACCGGAGGTTCCGGAGACAGAGATGCGAACGGGATTCCGGAGCGGAGGTCCGGAGTCAGGAGCATAGGTTTTGTGTACTCGTTTGGAAGGTGTCGAGGTTGGGGTCGGACCCGGAATGTTCCGGAGTCAGACCAAAGGTGGTGTCCGAGCCGGAGGTGGGATAACCTCTTGGGAGTCAGCAAGGAGAAGGTGATGGAAGGGAAGCAGGGCTCCGGAAGTCGGAGTTCGGAGTTCCGGGAGCCCGGAGCGGAGGTCGGAATTGTATGGATATGACAGTGCCCTAACTTACTAACTGGCAACCAGAACTGAAGGGGGGTAACTCTAGTCGATTTTATTACTGAAGTGTAACCTATGTACAAGTTGGGTATATATAGTTACAGCAAAGATGGGTCCGCAAATGGTGGAGCCGAGCCAAGCCGAGCTAACGGGGTTAAACATCAGCCAACTGAATATTACCGACGAGTCGGGTTACGGGGTTAACGGAAAGGCAGGTGATAACCCAGAAATGGAAAGGAGGGATAGGCCTGAAGGTGGGCTCTGCAGGGCAGGCGAGTGTATTACCCAACAGAGGCAGGAGTGCGCTAGCGGACGTCGGAGCTGTCCGGAAGTCTTTGGGGCTCTGTACTTAGGGAGGTGTAGGTAATAAATTGAAAGGAGGGGGTGGTGACCATCGAGGCGTACCGAGAGAATTGCAGAATACAGGAGCTCCGAGGTTAGTGAAGAAGGAGCGGAGGTAGACTGGAGGGATTGGAGGGACTGGAAGTTGATGGATGGGGATGGATATGACAGTATCCCCTTCTTAGGCCTGAACCCTTGAAGGCCCAGAATTAGTAAGGTGAGGGGAGCTGTACTTACAGAAAGAAAATAATGAGAAAATGAAAATGGAAGTGAGGAGTGGGGGGAAAAGTGTCAGGGCACGGACGGTTATCCGGCCAGCCTGGACCCCTATCCGGATAGGTTGAGTACCTGTAAGCCAATATCTGCATGTGATTTGCCGTAGTTAGAATGCAGGCTGTATTCAATGCACTATTTCCGCTATCATGTCATCCCTCACCCATTATCGCCCCCTTATCCACATGATCTATTCTCCTATCTCATGTCGCTTCTCTATCGGCTACCATGTGTTCCCAATGTAGCCACGCTCTTATGAGTTGCGGAACTCATGTACATATATAAGGCCTTATCGCCAGCTGGGTTGGCCCCCCAGCTTTTACAATGACTAGTTTCCCGGGGAGATTCTTATGTGCAAACTGATGCGCGGACTCTGACAAAAAGGAGAAATGGGAGAGGAGTCGGGGTTCCTAAGGAGCTTCGGGTCCAGGCTTATCTGGGTACCGAGAGTGGAACGCTTCGACGAGGTTGGAGGCATGATCGAGTTCGCTGGCAAGGAGCCATTGTGTCTCCTCATCGGTCCCTTCATAGCCTAGCCACTTGACCAGGTAGAGCAACTTGTTGCATCTACGTCGGTCGATCTTGGAGTCGAGTATCTCCTCGATCTCAAACTCCATCTTGCCTTCGATTTCTATGGGAGGTGGAGGTGGCTGGTGGCGGTTCGGAATGATGTTCAGGATGGAGGGTTCGATCTGCGAGACATGGAATACCAGGTGAATGGCTCGCATGTTTTCCGGCAGGCGGAGAGTGAGGGAGTGGGTTCCAATGCAGGCAATGATCTCGAATGGGCCGAGGTTTTTCTCGGAAAGCTTTTTGGAAGGTCGGGTGGAGTGGAAATACTTGGCCTTTACATAGACTGAGGTTCCTACTTCGAAAGCTGGGGCAGGACTCCGATGGGAGTCTGCCAGGCCCTGATAACAGGTCTGAGCGAGATGCATTTTCTCGCAAAGGAAGTGGTGGAGGGAGTCGAGATTGATGGAGTACTCTTGGGCACGTACTGATGTCAGGTCTCCCTCTGGGTGAACAGTGATGTTTGGATGGTAGCCTTTGTTGGCAAAGAATGGGGAGATGCCCGTCGTGGCATTCGGAGCATTGTTGTATGCGAACTCTGCGAGAGGCAGGAGTTCAGACCAATTGTCCTGCTGGTAATTACTGTAGATGTGCAGGTACTGCTCGAGCATCTGGTTCATCTGTTCGGTCTGACCGTCTCCTTCTGGATGGTAACCAGAGGTGAAGTGGAGGCGGATGTCGAGGGCCTTACCAAGTGAACGGAAAAAATGAGAGACAAACTCCGGACCCCTGTCGGAGGTGACATGGGAAGGAACTCCGTGCTTGGAGAACACATGGAGGAGGAAGAGCTTGGCCAGTTCCGGAGAGGTGATGGTGTCATGGGTAGGGATGAAAATGCACTGTTTGGACAGATGGTCCACGATGACCAAGATGGAAGTGAATCCGGAAGAGGAGGGTAGCTGTTCGATGAAATCCATGGAGATGGAGTTCCAAGGACATTCAGGGATGGGGAGTTGTTTGAGTAAGCCGTAAGGCTTATGACGGGGGACTTTGGCATGGGCACAAGAAGTGCAGGAGGATACGTAACTCTTGACGAAGTTACGGATGCCCGGCCAGGTATACTCACGATGTACTAGATCCAGAGTCCGGTTTTGACTGAAGTGTCCAGAAAGTTGGTGGTCGTGTTTGTCTTGCAAAATGCGGAGACGTAGATCATTAGAATCCGGAACGTAAATGCGGTTGTCCAGCCTTAAAAGGCCTTTGGCATCAATGGACCAGCGGGAATTGGGGAGGTTGGGGGAAGTGAGATGAGAAGAGATTGTGGTATCAGAGGAGAGGGAGGTTAAAATGTCTCGATGAAGAGCCTCTGTGTCAATGAGTACGGCTGCTCGGATTACTGTGGCAGCTAGGAACATAGCTCATAAGGACGCAGTGAGCTGCTCCGAAGTGAAGACTGGTCGGAAGTTCTGCAGATTGACACAAGCATAGTCCATATCCCCTTCTTTGGGATAGACGTCCCAGCGTCTAGTCAACGCATCTGGTTTTACTCCGAGTCTTCCGGGACAGAATCGGACAGTCATGTGGAATTGGGAGAGGAACTCCGACCAGCAGGCTTGCTGACGGGTCAAGAGTTTGGTGGTGGAGAAATACTCAAGGTTCTTGTGGTCGGTGACGACGTCGATTGGGGTTCCTGAACCTTCAAGGTAATGATGTCATGATCGGAACACATCATGAATGGCGAGCAGTTCCTTGTCATGGGTGTCGTAATTGAGCTCCGGCGCCGAGAGTGTTCTAGAGCGGAAAGCGATGGGGCGAATTTCTCTGTCATCACAGC